AGGTTCTTTTACAACAAAAAATATGTCTGTAGTTCCTTTTATTATTAAAATTCATCCAGGCTTCATATGGGTCAGATTCAGAATTTTTCAAATAAACCTTCGGGCGAGGTTCACGGATTTTCCTGAAATTTCGGTATGTTATAGTACATCGTAGAAGGGTCCCAAAACCTAAATTTTAAACCCCCTCCGCCCTCCTACCCTCCACCCCCGCTATAAACGTCTCTTTTCTATTTATATTTATTCTAAAGCCCTGAAGTAATTTAAAAATCTGAAAATTTTCATGAAGGTAATTTTCAACAATCCAAACAATCTAAAAATCATTAAAAATTACAAATGTTTTATTTTCAGTGAAATGGTTCGATATACCAGACCGGAGTATTTTTTTCTTCATTCTGACACCAAAAAACGATTCCTTGGATTTTTTCAGAATTTTTCATTCATGCCGATAAAGCCTAGAGCTGAAAAACCGCTTTTTTTCACAAAAATAATGTTTTTACGGCGGTTCGGAGACTAAAAAAATCTGGATAAATTTTTTTATTTTTTTCTTCCTTAAAGTACAAAATCTCAAATTTCGTCAAAAATAACATTTTTCGGCTCCAGACGCTCTCGCCTTCAATTAAAAAATCTGAAAAAATTTGAGATTTTGTATTTTGATGAAGAAAAAGATAAAAAAATGTATCCAGATTTTTTGAGTCACCGAACCGCCGTAAAAAAAATATTTTTGTGAAAAAAAGCGGTTTTTCAGCTGTAGGCTTTATCGGCATGAATGAAAAATTCTGAAAAAATTCAAGGAATCGTTTTTTGTGTCAGAATGAAGAAAAAATACTCTGGTCTAGTATATCGAACCATTTCACCGAAAATAAAACGAATGTAATTTTTAATGATTTTTTCTGAAAGCCTGAGGCACTCAAAAAATCTGGAAAAATTCCAGATTGTTTGGATTGTTGAAAAATACCTTCATGAATTTTTTCAGATTTTTTAATTACTTCAGGGGGTAAGGGGTAGGAGGGGGGAGGGGGTCTAAAATTTTGGTTTAGGGACCCTTCTATGATGTACTATAACATACCGAAATTTCAGGAAAATCCGTGAACCTCGCCCGCGAGTTTATTTGAAAAATTTTGTATCTGACCCATATATATTGACTTGTGATTTTCAAGTCCTTGACCGCACGATTTTGGATCCAACATTTAATCAATTGTGATTTTTAGGTCTCAAAAAAGTTTTGTAATTGAATTCTTTTCCACTTGAGTGTAGCAGATTTTTTTTAGTTATTTTTTTAACCTACTAATCTCCAAATATAGCAATAAGCGTCATTAAAACAGCAATTTTTGTCATTTTCTTTGTACTTTAATATAAAAAAAAATTCCCTAACATTTCCTTGAAATTCTGTTACAATTAAGTGGAAAATAATTTAATGACAAAACTTTTGAGACCTAGAGGATCACAATTGATTAAATGTTACATTCAAAATCATGCAGTCAAGGACTTAAAAATCACAAGTCAATATATATGAATCCTGGATGAATTGGCATAATAAAAGGAACTGCAGACATCCTTTTTCTTGTAAAATGACCTTTAAAAACATATTTTAACATCAGAAACAAAAAATTTTAATATTAATCCTTAACTTTCATGTTTTTGCATTTTTAGGCATAAACACAGGTGTGTCCCTTTAAGGATAAATATTTCAAATGACGTAGTCTATTGTCACTATTTTAATCCTTTCAAGTCAAGACTTAATTTAAGAGGAGGCTCTCATGAGACTCGATCAAAAAATCGATTTTTTTCTTGCATACTTAGTTAGCAAATGTCCCGTAGAATACACCCCGAACCCCGTTTTACCAAAATCGATTTGGTTAAAAATTGGCAAAAAACCGGAGCTGTCTTTTTACGAGCAAACGACCCTGGTAGAAACTTAAACCATAAGTTAACCAGTTTATGTCTTTGTTGACTCCCACTAGCCAGTTTATTAACTAGTTTATGTGTCTATTGACCGATAAAATATGCTAAAAACGACATGATTTTAGTTACTTTTATGGCTGGAAACTGGGTAATGTTTGATGGTTTTTATGCGCGAAAGCTGGTCAAAAACTGCTCAAGCGAAGCAGCACTTGAGCGTGACGTATCGACATGTAATTTTATTATATAAACAATTCATTATTTTATATATGATATAGGTATACTTTTGTACTTTCAAATTTAAATACTTTTAAAGTAAAGTGCAGCAGAGAATGAGTACTTATCTGAGATGTAAAAACATCTAAATATTGCTTAAAATCTAACCTCAATGTGAAAGTAGCTGAGCTAATTATGTTTATTTATATTAAAAAGAAGTTAAACATGAAACATACTTTATAGCTCGAGCTGCTAGACTCGTTTAAAAGCACTGGATGCATAGAAATAAAATCTACACTATCCTTCAATATCTTATTTCGTTGGCGTTCTCTATATTTTTTGTAACGCTTTTTATTTTTATTGTCATTTGGCACATCCATATCGAAATGTTTGTATGTAAAGTAAACGAAAACTGTTATTTGCAGCTCTGACGAAGCTCTACTCGTCAAAACTTTGCCCGATTACACACAACATACATAACCTGAAAATTAGCAGTCTCTTTAGACCGGCGCACATTAACCAGTTTTTGACCAGTTTGACGGTTTAATATTTAGGCACGAAATGTTCATCGTGAATGGCCAGTTTTTAATCTTGTAACCATTTCAACTGGTTAATTTTCTACCAGGGGATGTATGTATGTATTGTGACGATGTCAATGGGCGGTATTTGACGCGAATTGGGTGAACTGTGGTGTGTGTATACATGAGTGAATTGCACGACCGAGAAGCATGATGAGGTAGGAAATCGAGTATCACTCGAGCGCGCGTTCGAGGTTCAGGGCAAAGGAAGAGCCAAGTTAACCTCGGACGCGTCTCTCGGACCACGTGCACTGGGGAGCAAAATCGATCGCCTCGCGCTCGATGCGTCGTCGATCTGCGCGACAGTGCACACGGGAGATTCGCAATTAGACCGTGAGAGACGACGGACGTGTGGCCGAGTGAGAAGTCGCGAGAGAGGGAGAGTTTGGCCTTGGACGTTGTTCGTGGAAGCTGTTTGGCAGCGGTTGAGTTGTCGTGAAGAAGCTGTGTAGCAGCAGACGTCGAGTTGGCCTTGGACGTTGTTCGTGAAAAGCTGTGTGGCAGCGGTTGAGTGAGATCGTGAAGAAGCTGTGCGTGCAGCGGAAATTCGTGTGTCGTGTCCGTGGAGAGGCTGTGTTCAAGCCTGGAGTTCAGTGCGACGAGAGAAGAGTTGCGAGGTGACGAGGCGATCGTGAAGCTCGGAAGGCAGCGAGCCACGCGATTTACTGTACAGCGACCTTCTGATCAATCGTCCGAGGCATCTCCGAGGCGAGGCAAGAGCCCTTGGACCGGGCAGACCACGAGGACGGAGCAGCTGGAGGACAGCGGGAGACAACGTCGAGGAACGAAGGGGGCGGCATAAGAGCGAAGATAAGGTCGTAAATTGTAATAAGCTTGGTCGGTCAGGCGGATGCGAGAGAGTGTGTGAGATTGCGTAGTGCGAATGTATGAGTGGAATTAAGTAGAGTTTCGCCGTAGAATCGTTGTGTATTAGTCGTGGAATCGGAGTAATTGTAGCGAGTACCTTGGACATTCAAGACGTGGTTCGAGTCCACGTGTCGCGTTTCAGGCCGGCGCGTGGCCATTTTTGCGAAGCGATACTTCCGCCTTGGACGCTCCTGTGAGAGCAAGCGAGATAGCTTGTTTCGTCTTGGTCGTGTGTGACCAAATCGCACGTCTGCTAGCGCGAGCAGAGCGAAGGCGTCGACTATATTTCGGAGAAACGAGCCGATTGCGCGCAGTGCAATTACGCGGCACTTGACAGGGACTCGCGTCGGACAAACGTTGTAATCCGCGCGTTTTCCCCTTGGACTCGCGTATGATCAATTACGTCCGAGGCATGATACGATGGTAGCGAGGAAATGAGATACGAAATAGCGAAACGAAGCGTGAATGAAGTGATGGTTGTATTGATGAGAGTTTTAAGTTCAATTGAATAAAGAAACGAGTCTTTGTGTGCAAAAGTACATTTTGCGTAGTCTTTTCGCGAACCCTTCTCACTTATTTTCAGCTTGGACTGCCGACGCTCGCGGCGCACTTGGTGGCGGCTCGACCCCTTCTGAGGTAAGACTCAAAGATAGGCTAACTGGAGCCTCAGTAAGAAATAATTAGACGGCAGGCCGAGCATGGGCTAGTGCCCAAAACCTTGCACGTCACAGTATGTACATTCGCTTTCCAGAACTTTAAACGCGTTTTTCTCGAAACCATGTTTTCAGAATCGGGCGCCAAGATATCTCAAAAAGTACTGCACTTAGAGATACGCTTTTTATTTTATTTTAAAGATAATTAAATTGTCTGGAGCTTGAACCTATAAAATTTTAAATTTTATCATTATTATTATTTTTTGGAGCCCTTAAAAGAACCAAAAAAGGGCAAAAAAAATTTCCGAAGTCCGCCATTTTATCAATATTTAATTTTTTTGCAATTATTTAGGTTCAAGCTGCAGCAAATGTCATCTAGTTTAAGAGGTACTTCAGATTTTTAAGACAAAAACTCAAGGCGCTAGCTTGGCGCCCGTTGACGTATCTTTTTTTAACACGACCTCCTTCAAACGCTTCTAGGGGATACATAATTCGATATTTTGGTCTGAAAAAATTCTTAAATACAGTTAAATACATAATTTATAAGTACCAAAAAACTTGACTGCATTAATCACTTCCTTCCGTGAAAAAAAAAATTACGAAAAAAAAACGTTATTTTGGAGGCGCTAGATGAGAGCCTCCCCTTAAGATTTACCAATACGATGAATGAAATTCTTACTATTGTAAAATTTTTCAGAATATTTGTAAAATACTATTTAAATTTTGAGTTATTGAAGTTATTAAATTAATCATAATTTATGTTATAAAAAGAAATAAAAAAAGTATCTTACTTGGAATAACACTTTAAAGCATCGTTGAACTTTTCCATTTTCATAAGCGTGTTTCCTTGATTTTTCAATTTTTCGGCTTCTATTTTTAATTCAGATGGTGTTAGAGTAGAATCAATTTTTTCTTCATTTTTGTGGGCTTTGTACAATTCAAGAATATCAAAATTTTCATAATCTTCGGATGCTTTAATATCGTAAGAACTTTCTAAACATTGAATTGATACTTCTAGACTCTCCTTAGAATCGATACCCAGGTCGTCTTTTTCCAAAATCTGCTTGAGACATTTGACGATAGAAGCGACTAAGCCTTGGTACGCCATTTTCCTACAAAACATTATAATTATTATTTTATTACAAATTCGAATAAAATTATATTACCATTTATAAATACATTACAAGGAATTAGTTTAGAATGAAATTTACCACTTAATTTGAATTTTTTATTAATTACGTGAAACTTAAGTTTGTGCACATAAAAAAAACAAGAGTATACACTAAATCCAAATAGTGTAGTATCAAAATTATGCTCTTCAATTCAATTTACTATTCTATAAAGTTCATTTCGTACATCTATGCTTCGCAGTTAATCATACGTAATCTACTGATAGTTTTTAGTTGAATTTAAAAATTGGGCAGTACAGATTCAATGAAATCATTATTGTTAATAAATATAGTCTCTTTTTTACGGGAGAGGATAAAAAAAATACGGATTAAATATGCAACATGAATGCATTGCATAGATATTTCGGATTCGAGTAGTGGTAACATTCTGGAGTGCAAATTTTTAAAAATCTATTGTTTTTGTTGTATTATAGAATCATACTTTCAAGTTTCACCTCTTAAATTTTAGTACAGATATTCAAATTCTGAGTAAGTCAAACGGAGGATTGAGCAAAAGCAAGTATACGATAGAAGGAAAAACCTTTGATGGCATTTTTCTCGACTTAAGAGCTTATAAGCACCTTTATATCGTAAAATTTTGTATTCAATTTTTGAAAAGGATTTACTTTTCTCTTCTCATTACATTTTTTAAAACTCTTGAAAGATAATTTTCCATTAAGATACAGTGCTTCTGTAAGCATTTTTCGTATACTTCATAGGTTTAATTTTTTCTTCTTTTGCGTTTTCTGGCGAATCATGCAAGTTACGCAATTTATGGCGAGTTATGCAAGATTTAGAGCGAACTCTTTCAGTTGTAGCACTACACGCTCAGGATAAAAGAATAAAATTTGATACAAAAAAGTGTATTCTGAGCACGCAACACTATTTACAAGTGTTACCAACGCAGATTACAATTTTACGAAAAAGTTTTTAGAGAAAAAGTGAAATTCGGTCAAATAATACTTTCAGAATTAGAAGGACAAAATACACTTTAGCGTGCGTTACACTTTTCCTAAAAGAGTCAATGATACAAATTACAATTTTACCAAATCATTGCCTGCGAAAAAAGTGTAATTCGTTCAAATAATACTTTTATGAAAAATGTAAAATGCTTTAAAGTGTATTTTGCCCTTCTAACTCTTTTTGAAAGTGTTATTTGGCCGAATTACAGTTTCCTCCAACAACTTTTTCGTAAAAGTATAATCTGCGTTGGTAACACTTTTAAAAAGTGTTGCGTGCGCAGAATACACTTTTATGTATCAAATTTTACTCTTATAGCCTGAGCGTGTAGGGTCGCGTCCACTTTTCCAGAACATCAATGGCCATAAACGCAATCTCGGGCGAGGCCATCCGAGCCATAAGTCACCCGAATCTAATCTACTATAGATCAAAGGCAAACCTACTTTCGCGGAAATGACTTTACCGTCATGAAGATGACAATAGCGAGGAATACACAAGGATTTTTGAAAAGTGACAGGCTCAATGATCCCATTTGACAAAAGATTAGTGGACTCGCCCACTCATTCCGAACAACACCTTGCAGGCCGAGGGAAACACGAAGAAGTGAACGACGAACTCACATAATTCTTGACCAGTCACGATTGCTTAAAGTTACACTTCTGTCAAACCAACAATGACACAAGAGCAGCAGTGCTGTAGTAAATTACGCCAAAAATGTCATCTTTCACTGTGTTTGGGTCACAAAAAACAAGAAAAGACCTCCGTCACCTTAATGGGGGACCCTTGGTCTCTGAGACGTTGGTAGGATTAATGCTCGTCCCCAAACCCAACTGGCAAGCAGAGTCTTCCTTCCTCTACTCGGTCATAACAAAGCTGTGAGCCGAGGAGAAGACCAGGAGAAGATTGCCGGACATTGCGGTAAAAAGAAGACATAGAAAGTAGATAACATCCAGGAAGATCATGCTCTAGCCTTTACCCATGAAGTTAAGCTTAACGGCAGTCCCTGGGGAATGAACAGAAGCAGGGGAAGAGAATAGGCTTGAGTCAGTATTAGTAAAAAGATATAAGACCAGCCCACACATTGCCAAAAAGAATGACACGGACTTAAATTCAGCTGAACCAACACGATTTGGCGTGATGACCTTCGCCAAATTCAGTGACACAATCCTCGCTAATGCGATGACTTTCGGCAAGGTTAGTGACATGGTCATCGCTAACTTTAACATTATAACGATGACTAACTCTAAAGACGTAATCTTCGCTAATTTTAGTGAGATAAAATTCTCTAAATGAGCTACGCGCTCTTGGCTCTCAGAGAGAAGAGGGGATACAACATAATGCTTACTAACTTTAGTGACATTATCCTCACTAAACTCTAGCGACGTCATCTCCACCAACTCTTATAATAAGATAATCTTCGCTAAGTGAGCTGTACGCTCATTGGTTCTTGGAAAGGAGTGGGGATGCGGAAATGTAAGTCACTCAGCTGATGGTATGAATAAGCGAGCACAATCCCATTGAAGTCATTCTCTTCGCAATTATCAAGCGAGAATAATCAAGCTGCTCTAGCCGCTAACTGGAACGAACAATTTGTTTGCACACAACATACGCGATGACAAACTAATTCGTTTGTATCAGAACTGGTGTGCACAAAGCAGAATCAGCCTTTCTCAAGGCTATCCAAACTTGCAAATAGGCTCACTAGAGTTGTGGCACAAAAAATACATTTTTAATAGTCCTCTCGTCAAGACTACAAGAAATAATTTGTAACGGAGTTACAGGGTAAAACTCGGCCGATCGAAGTGGTGTCGCCCAAACGTCAAAACGGGCATTTGATCGGATTAGTTTAAGAGGAACTTCGCATTTTTAGTTTCGGGCAAAAATTGAAGGCGATAGCTTGCCGCCCGTTGAGGTACCTTTCTTTAACATGAGCTCCATCAAACGCTGCTAGGCGATAAATAATTCGATATTTTGGTCTGAAAATATTTGTAAATATAGTTAAATACATACTTTATAAGTACTAAAAAACTTGACTGCATTATTCACTTCCTTCCACGAAAAAAAAAATCACGAAAAACACGTCATTTTTGAGGGGCCAGATGAGAGCCTCCCCTTCAGCGCAATAAATATTCATTTCCTATCCTCAAACTATTTTGGTTACTTATCTTAGACACCTGGATCTAGAAAACATTAAATTTCATTTTTAAGAAGTTGTTGGATCTCACTCGTGACCCAAAACATTGCAATATTGCCTACAGGCATGGCATGAGATCATGGCAAATAGTGGCCTTATGTGCAAATATTATTCACCTCATCACACCATCGATAAAATTCAACTCTGCGTAGGTACTTGAAGTGTTAAATTAGTCAGTGAAAAGTGTTTAGACAAGAACTTGTCAGATCTACAGTGCTTGTATTAAAATAATAATTATTTGAAGCGTTAAAGGCCATAAATATTGAAATTAAACGCTTTATAATGTCATAATTTAACAATATTGCAATGCTTTGCAAGATGAGTTACAATAATTTCAAGATTCATCAATAAAATTCCAGGTATCAAATCTGCGTGCTCTCATTTTAAGTAAATCGGCGTTTTATGAAATTATAGAGAGATATAAGGCTGAAGCTTAGTAGTTAGATATAAAATAACTTGTTGCAGTGCATATTCATTTTTCATACTTTACTTAACGGAATTGATCCAAAAAATCATAATTTCAAGAACGGAGTTTTTCGCTAAAATTATAAATATTACTTTTATTACATACACATAAATGCATAAACCAAAGGTTTGAAAATTAGTAGTTAAGTTTGAAATGACTTGTTAAAATGAATGTTAAAATTTCATTCTTGTTGCTCTTACAGTTTTAGGAATGACTTTGAAACTGATGATTACAAAAATTGTGCTAATTTCTATTTTCAGTGCATGGCTCATGTTGAATTTTTAATTTTTAAAGTCATTTTTAGAACTTCATGGGTTGTTAGCTTGGAATTTAAAGTAGTATTTAAATAAATCATTCAACACATTACTTGTCAAAATATAAATCTCAAGCTTTTAAACTTTTTATGAACCAAACAGAAGTAAAGTTTCCATCGGTGGTATAAACCTCCTTTTTTGAAATTGTGATTTTTGGGTTAATTTCTATGTTTCAAGAGCCACAAGTATGAAATTTGAAGGTGTATTGCAATAAGTTGTTTTAAACCAACCTATCAAATTGCAGACCTCTAGCTCAATAGAATTTCATAAAACAATGATTTACTTGAAATGAGAGCTCACAGATTTCATACCTAGAATTTTATTGAATCCTAAAATTGTTGTAACCTGGCTTACAAAATGTTTACAAAATTTTAGTTGCAAATAAATAAATGTTTATTAGCAGTTTTAAAGTTGATAACATTGAAGAAGTCTCAGAGAATGTTTTGATCGTGTGGCAGCGAGTACTTTCATTCTGATATAATTTCACTGCTTTGGTGACTCGTTTAACATAAGCTCTTAGTACGCATTCTTTTAGTTAAATAGTAGGAGTAATTATTAAACTGGACTTATTATCTTAGGTTAAAACTGAATTATTATGAATACTCAATAAGGAGAAAACTGAAAAAGTTTTTAGGTCCAAGACAATAATCTCAATTACTTCCTTACTCATAAATAAATAATCGTTCATTGTGTTAATTAACTATAGATAAAAAATTTACTATTTTATAATGTTTTTGAAACAGCAAGAGAACAAGAACAAGATTGATAAAAAATAGGATATATATATGAAAATATTTATGATAAAATCACTAAAAATCTATTTTTTCTTCAAAATTTTTTGTAAAGCATTCAGTGATTGAAAAAAAATGTAAATGAGAATCTCACAAAACTACATTTTCATTATCAAAGCAAAGTTAAAATGCTAATTCAGATGATTGAATATGATATCATCAATTCATAGCAGTATCATATTTACTGGACTATTATACAAATAACTGAACTCATTTTTAGTACATATATGTTAGTACAGTAGTAATATAAAAATGTACTTAAATTTTTTCATTCATATCATAAGTAAAAAATATGTTACTAGGTTTCATCACATTTTAATTCTCTTTTATGCAAATTCCTAATTTTTGTAAATGTAAAAATATGTCAAACATCAATAGCTTATTTTATATCTTCTTTTATTTTGCTGTCATATTATCATTAACACATCGGAAATCTTGAAACAATTATTACTTTAATTTGTAATAATAACAGAAAATTAAACAAGGTAAGGGAAGTATTAATTTAAATATTGAAACAAATTATTCAAACCTTTATAGATTTAATTTATTTAAAATTTAATGTTAGTAACTAATAATTTAATACCTCATAAGACTTAGTAGCATTTTTATTATGAATATTATAAAAATACTTTGGATATATGCATGACATATTGGTTTTCAATTATTTTCTACATATAAACATACATAAAGATATCATTCAAACTACATGCCCTACATAACGAATTAAAATTTGATCAATTCTAGTTCTTTTAATAAAAGATAAATTTTACTTAAATTGACAAGAACAAACCTTAAGAATTGTATTTAATATATATGTATATATATATTTTTTCTTTTACCTGGAAAGCTACTAATCACTAGTATGATGAAAGTACAACCAAGAATATTGATAAGAAACACAAATACACTAAATAATTATCACCTCGAAATGTATTTCGAAAAGTGTAACTTAACCAAACTCTTTGAGCGAACAAATTAAACTGAGGGTGCATTTATTAGGCCCGAATTACAAGACCGTCAGAATGTCAAAGTTAAAACTGACAAGTAAACTGAACATCTATGCGGGATCAATTGGTAATATTTGTATCTAACGAATTGTTTTGATGATTCTCGATTTTTAAAATTAATAATATATGTCACAAACTCACAATATGAAATCCTAAAATTAGTGATTTCGAAATAGCTTATTGATTCATTTGAGTCTTGCACACAAAAAGGTATTTTATACGGACCAGACAAAATTAACGCTCGCCTATTGTAAAATCTGTTGTTTAATGCTGAATCAAAATTTTTATTTCAATTAATATTTAATTATTCCATGCATTTTGGACTCGGATGATAAGCAGTTTTAAAATTGTAACTGCATTATATACAGAAGAAAAAAAAATTCCATAAGAAAATAAATGATCGAAAAATGATTATGTTCCTTAAAAATTATTGAATACCCCTTGAAAAAATTTCATGGGATCCTAAAGAAAATTTTTTCAAGGGCCTATAAGAAGGCTTACTTTAGTTTTAAAATACGTTAAAAATTCTTTCTTGTGATACGTTTTTTATGTTAAGGACCCGCACTCAGTCGGTATTCAGTAACGAATTTTTCGTCCGCAATTTTCTGAATAAATAATAAATATATACTTACTCTCTTGTTCTATATTCTTTTGTTATTACGTTGTTATGCAAATTTTTGAGTAAATTGATCAATATATTGTTGTATTTGGATTTTTATAACCTCTATAAACAAGATATCCCAAAAAAGTTAATTTACGTAAGCTTATAATAGACAATTCCATGAAAACAATACTACATATAGGCATAATTGATTTAACCCCCTAGACTTAATTACAAAGTTCGAAGATATGATTGATGAAGATAAAATAGTTCTGTACTGAATACCGACCCAGTAGGTATACCAGGATAGTAAAATTATGAAAACAATTATTAGTCAGATATTCAGGAAATTTTTTTCTAGTTATTTTAATTATGACGAACTCTTAACTGTGCGACCCACGGTCATAGATTTTTGGTGTACTTAATTTACATATTCCTCACGTATCTTTGAAAAAGCTACAAAATGCGATTGCTGCATCGAAAATATCGGATGTACTGTCGGTATTTACCCAGCAATGTTGTTATCTAATGGTAATTAGAAACTATGGAACCGATATGCACGATCTCATGAAGGGCCCGATATGCTCAAGCCTTCCATACACACAATAACAAATAACAAAGTCCAGAAAAGTCAGTCCCCGCCAGTAAGCCTGATTATGAAAGAAACCAGATGGCGCTTTACACTGTTTGTATATTTGGGTCAGATTCAGAATTTTTTAAATGAACCTGCGGACGAGGTCCACGGATTTTCCTGAAATTTTATGTTATAGTACATCGTAAAAGGGTCCCAACCAACACGTTAGACCCCCTCCCCCCTCCTACCCCCAACCCCGCTATAAACGTCTATTTTCTATTTGTATTTATTCTGAAGCCCTGAAGTAATTAAAAAATCTGAGTACTTTTCAACAATCCAAATGACCTTCAAATTTCTTCAGAAATTCGCATTAATCTTTGTTATGCTTTAGAATGAGCTAGGGGGCTTTAATCGAAAACTTGAAACGGTCAAAATTTATTAAAATATGACAAGGAATTCAAAAACAAATATTTTCAAAATTTTCTACCGGGATAAGCGTTTTTCAGCCATAAACGTTATCGCCTTCAATTAAAAAATCCGAAAAAATTTGAGATTATGTGTTTTGATGAAGAAAAGAAGAAAAAATTTCAGATTTTTTGAGGCCCCATATCATCCGAAAAAAATTATATTCGTGAAAAAAAGGCGTCTTTCAGCTCAAGGCTTCATCTGCATGAATGAAAAATTCTGAAAAAATTCAAGGAATCGTTTTTTGGTGTTAGAAATTGAAAAAAAATGCTTCGGTCTGGTATATCGAACCGTTGCACGGAAAAAAAAATAATTTAAATTTTCAATGATTTTTTCTGAATACCTGAAGCACTCAAAAAATCTGAAACAATTCAAGGTTATTTGGATTGTTGAAGAGTACCTTCATGCATTTTTTCACATTTTTTGATTACTTCAGGGCTTCAGAATAAATACAAATAAAAATAGACGTTTATAGCGGCGGAGGAGAGTAGGAGGGGGGAGGTTGGTCTAAAATTTTGGTTTTGGGACCCTTTTATGATGTACTATAACATACCAAAATTTCAGGAAAATCCATGGACCTCGTCCGCAGGTTTATTTAAAAAATTCTGAATCTGACTCATTTATATTTATAATTGCTTTAGGTATATACCCGGCGAATTGTGCAGACACGGGTGACTGCACGAGTTGGCTGCTTGTTCTCCTTTATCCATTCATATGACATTGCCAACCTTTTAATACAAATAATTAGAATTAATTTGTCAGTTTTGACGTTTTCTAAAGAACTATTCACTTAGCTCGCTTATAGAAATTACACTTAATGTTAAAAAAGCAAGCTTTTATCTCGAGTAATTAAAAACTCGTTCAAAATTCACTCTAATTATTTATATTGAATGCTTGGCAATAGCGTATCGAAGTAGAACAAGCTATTGGCTCGTGCAGTCGCCTGTGTCACAACGCTGGGTATACCCGCAGTGTATTGGGGAAAGCGATATATGCCACCGCGAAATGTAAAGATGGCGGACTTACCCCAGACATTAACACAGGATGTATGGGAGCCACGCAGTTAATTAATTTTTGTAAATGAATGAAATATTTTTACGAGAATCCGATCCGGTCAATATAATCCTTATTTAAATATGTTCATGTACAAAAATTTTCGTTAAAAAACGTCTGTCCCTTCGCCTGTAATCATTTAATTAAATTTGCTTAACCCTCTATCTGACTTTTATTTCGGCTGCTGCAGCCCTACCATAACCTCGCTTAGACAGCTGTAGCAGCCGAAATAAAAGTCAGATAGAGGGTTAAGCAAATTTAATTAAATGATTACAGGCGAAGGGACAGACGTTTTTTAACGAACATTTTTTTACATGAACATATTTAAATAAGGATTATATTGACCGGATCGGATTCTCGTAAAAATATTTCATTCATTTACAAAAATTAATTAAGTGCGCGGCTCCCATACATCCTGTGTTAATGTCTGGGGTAAGTCCGCCATCTTTGCATTTCGCGGTGGCTATATATATCGCTTACGATTCCCCAATAGCGCCATATTGTTTTTTTTCACGATTGTGCTTATTGGTCCCTGCTCTTCGACCACAAGTCGCCGAAAATTTGAAAGTTCAAAAAAGGAGCGCAAATCGAACTGTAAACAGATATTCTTGAATGACCTACAGAGCCAGCTCTGACTGCCCTCTCACGCAGTTTTGAATACATTAAGTTATCATTTCGATTCTGGAAAATTCATGAAATAGGAATATTCCGAAGTTATATTGAACTTAACCCATAGAACACTAAAGATACTTACATTTTCAAAAATCATAGGGACTTCTTAGCTGGCCAAAAACTTTAAGATTCAGCTATTGTAATAGTAACTTGCGAAACGAGAATGAGCATTGAATTCTAGCGAACGCAAATATCTCTTCAGGCGTGATTGACTAAGGAATTGTTGATTATTTGAATGCACTCGCTTTGAGAACCATCGAATCACCGAAGAAAAGTAATCGACTAAGATTTATTTTTACGTCAAGCGCAATCGCATTGCTTTACAAGCAATCAACTCGAAATGAGATTCAGCACCAATTAAATGATTAACTTCTGATCTCTCCCGATCGCCATATGAGCACCTCCAGCTGTAGGATAAATTAGAGGTGCTGTTCGAATCCTTCCTGAATGGTTCAGGCACCACTAATTATGCCGGTCATCCGGGACCCGGATTCCGGACCCCCGCATGGCTTCTTGATGTTTGATATCGATTTCGAGGAACGTTAACCCCACCGAGGAAGGAAACGTAGTTACCGAAGGCACGAGCATGAGCCAAGAGACGCTGCGTGTACGGTATAACCGACTTTGTTTTCGTGATCGGGTCATAACACTTAGTACACATATTTATGAGTGCGAGTGTGAGAGTGTGTGTGTGTGTGCACGTGTATAAATGAAATAAGCAAATATCTATATATGTATGCACATGTATATCGACGTATGTATTGTGTATAAGCATCTTATACATAAGATATATTTATATATGCACTTATAATATAAATGTACATTACTACAGATGCCTTTATTAATTTCTGCAGATACTTAAGATTTCTGCACTATTTTTTGAAGAGAGTGGAAAGCTACCATCTTACAATTTGTTTTTAACATGTATCCGATTTTTAATTCTAAATCAATAACCGTTTTTCCTTCTACTACTATCAAAGGTATTAATATGTATTGTTATCAAAATAATACACCTAAAATTTAATATAAATTACTTTTTGACATGATTTCAAACTTATCCTACTCAAAAATTATCAATTTTCAGGATGTTATTTAAAAAAAAGAATCCCTGATATTGATGCACTATCTGGTTGTTTAACACTGATCTATAAAAACACAATAGTTTCTAAACCAGTTATTAAAATCCATAGACCAATATTAGTTTATCACTCTGAAGTGAGTAATTTTCAAATACGATTTATTCACATTGAAACAAAGAAGTTTGGATCAGAAGCATCTTCCAAAGTTGAAGAAACTGTAAAGAATATTAAAGAAGAAAACAATGAACAGAAATCTTCTAAGTTACTAAATATTATCCATGCAAAAAAAAAAAAAAATGATAAGGTATCTCTATTGCAACGTGTCAAGAATGAAATACTTCATTACTACCATGGCTTTAGATTATTAGGCTTAGATATGAAAGTAGCTGCAAAATTATGTTGGCGAATGTTGCAAGGACATGAGCTGAATAGAAGAGAGCACAGATTAGTGAGTATGATCATTATTCTAATATAATAGTTGTAAGTACTTTTTTACTTCAAATCAGCAATTTTACTTCCGCAAGCAATAATGTTTTGATCAATTTTATTTTGATATGTATGCAATACCTTCTAATTAAATTGCATTTCAATGTATGATTTTGGCCAAATCATAGTATCAAAACTATTCATTTAATAAGATAAGCTAAAAAAATACCAACTCAAAAATTGATCTTGACATTACCCTAATATTATATTTTGATCACTCAATAAATTTAAATTTTCTGCGTATTTATTTACAAACTTATGTCATATAAAGAATCTCAAACAACTGAAGCAGCAAAAATTATTTTTATATATTGTATTTTAGCAATAACAATGCCTTGATAGATAATAGTAAAAGGTTTTTGTAGCAGCAACTACCAATTGTTACATGAATTTCATTTTCATATTTATTTTATTCTTAAGATAATTTTTTAATATAAAATTGTTGTGAAATTGAAATAATAAGAGAAAAGTTATAGTAATAATTTAACTGTAAATATCTAATCTATAAAATCAAAAACTGTATCATTTTAACATTTTAATTCAATTGACAGTTGAATACTCAAATATTACATTAAACTTTTGGTCTTGTCCCACTTATATATGATGATATTGTTTAAATCTTGTGTTGCTTAAATTATTATTTGAATTGGTTTTAAAATAAATGCTGTGCAATAAGCATATATACTTATCAAGAGATGCAGTAGCACCTGCTCAGCAAAGATTTAAAAAAGTCATATAAAAATTATATAGAAAAAATTGTTTTACACATTTATTTCACACTAATCAGTACATAATTTTATGCAACACGCTATGGTGTGCAAGTATTATGATATCTAGATTCTGGGGACAAAATAAAAAATGTTGAACCTCTACTTTTGATGATTCATATCTCTCTTCAGTAACATTACTTATCAAAAGAAAGTTAATCTTACTCTTTCTTCATATTCTATTAATTAATTTCTCGAACAATAATTGCCTAATTTTTTGATACAAAAAAATTTTTCTACTTTAATTGTTTGAGGTAATTAATGAGGCGAATTCCAAATATGGTTGTATTCTATTGTTTAATAATATTATTTGAATGTTTCAATAATAAAATAATGTAATTTTAATTTCTACCAGTTACAGTGGCTGCAACTTACTGCTATATCTGCAATGTCTTTTCTTACTTTTATCATTGATAAGAAAATTACACAATAATCAATTATTTGAACTAAAAAAAGGGTTTCATTAAGTTTAGAATAATCTTTTGCCTAAGTGGTTTAAAGTAAACTTATAAGATAATTCTGTGAAAATGAATTGCATTGGTCCATTTGCTTAAGGGGAGGCTCTCATCTAGCGCCTCAAAAATGACGTGTTTTTCGTGATTTTTTTTTTTCGTGAAAGAAAGTGAATGATGCAGTCAAGTTTTTTGGTACTTATAAAGTATGTATTGAACTATATTTAAACATTTTTTCACACCAAAATATCGAATTATTTATCCCCTAGCAGCGTTTGATGGAGGGCGTGTTCAAAAAAGATACCTCAACGGGGGGCAAGCTAGCGCCTTCAGTTTTTGCCCGAAACCAAAAATGCGAAGTTCCTCTTAAACTAAATTAAATTTGCTGGAGGTTGGACCTAAATAATTGCGAAAAAATTAAAAATTGATAAAATGGCGGATTTCGGAAATAAAAAAATTTTTTTTCCCCTTTTTTGGCTTTTGTAAGGGCTCTAAAAAATAATAATAATGAAAAAATTTAAAATTTTTTAGGTTCAACCTCCAGACCATTTAATTAGCTTTTAAATAAAAAAAAGTGTATCTTAAAGTGCAGTACTTTTTCAGATATCTTGCCGCCCGATTCAGAAAACATGGTTTCGAGAAAAACGCGTTTAAAGTTTTAAAAAGCGAATGTACATACATATACATCGTTCGCTCGTAAAAAGACAACTCCGGTTTTTTGCCTATAACTTTTTAACCAAATCGATTTTGGTAAAAAAGGTTCCGGGGGTGTGATCTACGGGACATTTGCCAACTATGTAAGCAAAATAAAAAATCACTTTTTTGATCGAGTCTCATGAGAGCCTCCCCTTAAATGTTGCAAACTCTGCAGTTATTCAAATAGTTGATTGCTTTTTTATACACGAAAAAAAAGAGAGTTCCCAGTCCCCCTCTCTCCCGGCCCACTGGAAGGGGGGGGGGGTCCTACTAGTGTCCATAGGGCCTTTTTCCAATTGTCACGGAGTGGTCACTTTACCGAATAGCTGATTTGACTGGAGGCTTAACAAAGCGCCCCTATACTTCACGTATAAAATTAGCTTGTTAAAGGTAGTTGTAATAAGTTTATGATAAAGTTGAAAAAATAAACAAAAAATATCCGAAGAAAGTGGAAATCCTTGTGTATCGAAATACTGAAGCGGTTTTTAGTTAAAGTCTCTACTTTGTAAGTAAAAAATATTGAAATTTCGACTTTTTTGTCTGTGATATTATCAATGATCTCTAATAAAATGGTTATTAAATGTGCTTTTCCGGGTTGCAATACAAACTCTCGAGCGGGGAAGTTTTTATTTTTTCAAATGACCAACGAAAAACTCAGAAACAATCGTAATTAAGAATATTATCTTTCTACCAACAGCAGACTTGGGTGGGAAGACGATTGCGAGGTGATTTTCATGATTTTTCGGAATTACGCTTGTTACTTGGTTTTTCGTTAGTCATTTGAAAGAATATATACTTCCCCGCTTGACATTTTGTATTGCAACCCGAAAAAGCAAATTTAATAACCATTTTAATAGAGGTTATTGAAAATATAATATCACAGACAAAAAAGTCGAAATTCCAATATTTTTTTACTTACAAATTAGAGACTTTAATTTGAAACCACTTTAATATTTTGATACACGAGGATTTCCGCTTCCTCCAGATATTTCTTGTTTATTTTTTTACTTTGTTATGAACATATAAGTACTTTTAACAAGCTAATTTAACACGTGAAGTATAGGGGCGCGCGGTTCGTTATGCCTCCAGGTAAATCAGCTGTTCGGTACAGTGACCACTTCGTGACAATTGGAAAACGCCCTAATGCACTTTTTTTCCTAGTCACTTTATGATGAGCTAGAAACTTTTGAAATGTTTACTATAGACATAAATTTTGGAAAAATACTAACTTCGTTCGTGCCTTTAATTAAAAACGATGATGAATGGTGTCAACAATTCTACCAAACTTTTGGGACGTTTCTGATACGTCAAACAATATGATCATCATGTCAGATGAGAAAGATTGTTTGACCGGTTGAATTAGCACAGAATCTCTTATGTATGTGTAAATTTGAATACCTACGTTGTTTTGTAATACTGGCAAAATCAATATCTATTTTTAAATATCCAAAATCCCATGAAAATAAAGTAAAATTGATACTGGAATAGTTTTAAACTGTAGAAAAATATAGTGCTTAGGTACAGTATTACAAAGTAGTAATAGTTGAGCTGAGCGTAGTCACCTCTTATCATAGCAAGTTTGCCTAATTTTAGTTTGTTTTGTACCCTTATAAAAATTTCCAATAGGATCCCGCGAAATTCCTATTGGAATCCTATAGGACTCCTGTAGGAATTTCGCGAGATCCTATAGGAAATTTTTATAAGGGTAGTCTCACGATAACTTAATAGTACTTTATGCAACAGGTGTGGATATGCTTTTTCTGTAAAACGAGCGGTTGCAGTACAAGCTGAAGGCGAGTACTGTAACAAGTTTTACTAAATGTGCAGATAATAGAGTTGAAAATACTTGAAAAACTAAAAACCGATCTTTTTCAATAATTAATATTAATTGTCATTGTCAATTAATTTTGCTCAGCTTTTTGCAACGGAGCTTGCTACCTTTGCCTTTTTTGTCGAAAATATGCGTATTTTTGCTCAATACGGACAAAAAAAATCATTTAAACTCATGCCAAACTATTCATTTTTTTGTTTACTTTTCTTTCGTTCAATTAGTACCCAAGAGCATAAGCTTTGAGAAATTGAGAAGTTTTTGGTTTCTGATGATCCTGTCAGGAAATATCCTGCTTACCGGAGGACAACAAGATGACTGAGGAAAACTGTTGAAAAATTAATAATTTTCAATATTTTTATCTGAAATGTTTTTACAGTTTTTCTAATGGATAAACCGCGTTGTTTAAGAATTTCAAATTGATTGAAATTTTGGTTTTTGAAATAATATTAAAAAAAAATAAATAAATAATTTCCGTCACACAAAGCTTATTTAACCCCTTAAGTTCCATTAATTTTTGGCAAGAATTTTCTTCTACCCTTCTTCCTACCTACCTCTTCTATTTAAAATACTAAAATTCTGACTTTGTTCTTCGAAAATTCGCTCACGTTTTGTGACGTTCACAGCACATCTTATAATGAAGTAGTATAAATGGCATTTTTGTGCTACCCCAATCTAATGTAACATTCTACCGCCACTGTGCAAAACCAAAATGTTAGTTTAGGCTGGGGGATTCACAAAAAAATGTATTTGCACCTATGTAGCGAAAAATGAAAGTCTCAGAGCACGTTATTATCAACCTCGGCTTCGCCTCGGATGATAAATTACACGTGCTCTGAGACTTTCCAGTTTTTCACTCCCTAGGTGCAAAATATACTATTTTGAAACATCAATCATTACCGAAGAAAGTTTAGAAGAAGTGATGTGACTGATAGTTTGCTCTGATTAATAAAATGTAAAATGTAAAAAAACGAGACTTCAGCGTTTGTGTAGGTGATCTATGAGAAAAAATTGTACACGCATGGCATACCGTACACGGGCTTACAGGCTATCGAAAAAAGCTGTGCCTCACTGAAAAATCCAAAAATTTTACGACACGTTACTCGATTTTTGGGTTATATAAGTTGTATAAAGCAATTAAACTTTTTAATGAAGTTTTAGTTTTGAATGTGAAAATGGAATTTCTTATACGTCTGTAATCAACATGAGTTTGAATCTATTGAATATGTTTTAAATGAAATTAAACTTGGGACTTAAATATTTAAATTATTATGAATACATTACGGCAATATCACTTAAAAGATAACTTTCTATTTCTTATTTTATTTAATTTTATGTCTTGCGAATTTTATAGTTGGTGAAAACAACAGGGGATACTTTTCGACTGATACCATTCTCTGTTTTTATCATCGTTCCGTTCATGGAGTTTTTGTTGCCAATAGCAATTAAAATTTTTCCAGGACTATTGCCATCTACTTTTCAAACTGCTACAGAAAAAGAAGATAAATTAAAAAGAGCGTTAAAAGTTAGTTTTGCTTGAATATTGATTATAGAAAAATATATGTACTCACGAAATTGAACTAAATTTATTTTTAGGTTAAAGTTGAAATGGCCAAATTTCTCCAAAAAACCTTAGATGAAATGGCACTTCAATCGACAGAGCATGGTTCGAAAAAAGCTAAAGAATTTGTAGAGTTTTTTTACAAAATAAGATCAACTGGTTCGATTGCAACCAATGAAGAAATAATGAAATTCAGCAAATTATTTGAAGATGAAATCACTCTAGATTCTCTTTCAAGACAACAATTAATAGCATTGTGTAGGGTTTTAGATGTTCAAACCTTAGGCACAACTAATTTTTTGCGATTCCTATTACGAATGAAGTTGAGAAGTTTAGCTGCGGATGATCGGGTAAGGTATCATTTCTTATTAAGCTTCTTATAAATGATTTCGTTAAACAAAATTATTTTCTAGGTTTATTTTATGTCTATACCATTCATTCAGTTCCTTATAATTTAGTTCATGATGATTTCTTTTGAGCCCATTTTTTCACTACTTCTTCGGACCACTGTATTTATAGTAAAAATTGAGTCTAAAATATGTACGAATAACGAATTTCATCATATGAATGAATGATTTTTCAGAATCTGACCTTTAAATTTCTAAAAAATGAGCAGTGATACAAAAAAATGATTTATAAAAAAAAACGTTGTTACAAAACAATTTTGAGAAGACTCGTAGATTTTTTCAGACTTTCCAGAGAGATTTTTCGATTTTCGGATACCATTTTTTTGTATACTTCAAGAGTCGCCCAGAAAATTTGGGAAAAGTCATACACGTTAATTTGTCCATTCTAAGCTATTGTAGTTCTATAACTTATTTTCGATAAGTTCTCCATGTTCGAGCTATTAAATTTTAAATTAATAAAGGAACTATTTTTTTTATCACAGCTTTAATGTGATATTCGTTCATAGAATATTTTGTCTCTATAGTTAGGTATTGTTAAGTGGAGAAGTTGATTTTTTGACATTTTATTGAACTCCTATAAGCTGCTCTAAACGAATTATAATTTAATTAATTCAAACATTTTTTTTCATTTAGATGATTGAGAAAGAAGGAATCAACTCGCTCACGAGAACGGAATTACAGCAAGCCTGCAGAGCTAGAGGTATGCGAGCTTATGGTATGTCAGAACAGAAATTAAAAGAGCAACTTATGCAGTGGTTAGATTTGAGTTTGAATAAAAAAGTACCACCAACCTTACTTCTTCTTTCAAGAGCCTTAATGGTACCAGATACTGTTCCCATGACTGACAAATTGAAAGCAACGATTTCAGCTCTTCCGGACACTGTTATAACCCGCACAAAAGGTGCTATTGTAGAAAAAGAAGGTAAAGTAGATTATAAAACTAACATTGAAATTATTAAAATGGAAGAAAAAAAAATCGAAGAAGAACGAGAAGAAGAAAAAACATTAAAAATTAGTGACAAGCACGTACAGGCATCAAATATTTACTCGCCGTTCTTAAAAAAGAATGAAATTACGACCAATGACGTTAAAGTTCTGGAACAGGCATTAGAAACTCTCAGCACAGTGAGTATCTTCTAATATATTTCTTAATAATTTATGATTGTGAATTTTTTTAAACATATTTATGACCAATCTTGAGATAACGAACTGATTATTTTTCATAACATACATTTTATTCAACATTTTAAACCAATACATACCCTCGACCAGCTTTATCGCCTAAAAAAAAGCCTAGTAAGCAATAATGAATAGAGCTCGTGAACTGGCTTATCAACAAGAAAAGAAAAAATAGAGCTTGAACATAATCAATAAACGCATATTATATCCAAATTACTTCTTGCAGATTGCATTACGTTCACGTTACGTTCACGTTACTATTGCGACCTAAAAGACCTCGTGAAACTTCTTTTACGATATTTTGACTCAGATAATACTTAGAATTTCATTCTAAATTTTTTAAATGAAACGTTTTTTTACGCTGTAGTATACGGCCGTGAAAATGAGCGCATGTATGTCCGCTTGGGCGGGCGAGCGTGATAATCTCCCGTATATAGATTAGACCTGTTGTTATTTCCCAAGTTGTTCCGATCTTCGCTCCAGACGTTGATTCTGGTTCCTAGGATGTAAAAAATGAGAAAAATACTTATATGAGTCCAAAAGTTAATAGTTAACACGTTCCGCAACTCGAAAAGCCGAACATTTTCGAAGACTTTTCTTCAAAAATTCTCAAAAAATTCTAAAAATATTTTTTTTGGGTTCTTTGACTAATATTGAGATGTTTTTGTTGTTTGCATTTTTTGTTTAATATATATATGGGGCAAATTTCCTGAAGTGTCCTAGCGCTCTGCCGCACGGCATTTTTTGGCCGAATCACTCAATTTCTAACTCGCTGTAAAAGTATCAAAACGCCCCTCAAAAAAATAACTAACTAATGATTTTGATAGGAAATTTCCTCAGCTTTCTGATGGTGAGGTCCGATTTTCCGGAATTTTCCATTTTCACCTCGGAAAATGCAAGTAAACATTCAAACTCGAATATCTCGAAAAACGCCACTTTTTTTGCGTTTTTTATTGTTTCAATCGAAAGATGAGGTCTTTTTACATCGGATATGGTAGTTTTCAGAGTGTATTTTTGATGAAAACTAAGGAAAATACGGGAGGTTTTAGTTAGCGCTCGGCCGCTCGACGCGATTTCCAGCCTTGCGCGGCTCGCTGTAACTTGTAACTCGCTCTTATGACATTGTGATTTGGCTGGAAAAATTATTAAACATATGGTTTCGATAGGAAATTTTCTCAGCTTTCTTATGGTGTATTTGGATTTTCCGATAATTTTCATTTTCACTAGAAAAAATGGACTTGAATGTCTATTTTCTACTTTTTCTAATGAAAATGAAAATTATCGGAAAATCCAAATACACCATAAGAAAGCTGAGAAAATTTCCTATCGAAACCATATGTTTAATAATTTTTCCAGCCAAATCACAATGTCATAAGAGCGAGTTACAAGTTACAGCGAGCCGCGCAAGGCTGGAAATCGCGTCGAGCGGCCGAGCGCTAACTAAAACCTCCCGTATTTTCCTTAGTTTTCATCAAAAATACACTCTGAAAACTACCATGTCCGATGTAAAAAGACCTCATCTTTCGATTGAAACAATAAAAAACGCAAAAAAAGTGGCGTTTTTCGAGATATTCGAGTTTGAATATTTACTTGCATTTTCCGAGGGGAAAATGGAAAATTCCGGAAAATCGGACCTCAACATCAGAAAGCTGAGGAAATTTCCTATCAAAATCATTAGTTAGTTATTTTTTTGAGGGGCGTTTTGATACTTTTACAGCGAGTTAGAAATTGAGTGATTCGGCCAAAAAATGCCGTGCGGCAGAGCGCTAGGACACTTCAGGAAATTTGCCCCATATATATTAAATGCTTATTAAAAATATTGAATATTATTTGTTTAAAATATGTTTAATCGATCTCGATATAAAAAATCGCAAAGTTTAAAAACGTGATGTGAAATTTTTGTTTTTCATGAAATTCGAGCATAAAAAACCACGTTTTCAAACTTTGCAATTTACTGTATCGAGATAGAAGCATTAAAATGAAAAATAGCAAAGAACAAAAACGTATTAAATTAGTCAAAAAACACGAAACAAATATTTTCAGAATTTCTTGAGAATTTTTTATGAAAATTCTTAAAAAATATTCGGCTTTTTGAGTTGCAGCACGTGATGACTATTACATTTTGGACTCATATTCGTAATTTCTCATTTTTTACACCCTAGAAACCAGAATCAACGTTTGGAGCGAAGATCGGAACGACTTGGGAAATAACAACCGGTCTAATATAGATGCTACATACAAGCCATTTCACGTCAAGTCTTCAATGGCTCGCCCGGGTGGCATTATTAGGCGAAATCTCCCAATTTCTAACTTGCTGTAAAAGTACGTAAATGCACCTAGAAGAAAAAAATAACCCACCATTTCGATGAAAAATTACCTCGGCTTTCCGATGGTGGAGTCAGATTTTCGAAAATTTTCCATTTTCCCCGGGAAAATCGTCGGAAAAATGAGGACAAAATTATTTGTTACTAAATACCAACTAAGTGAGTGTTCCAGACCCTTAAAGCTTGGCAGTACATATTTCAAAATCATTTCGTAAAAATTTTAGTTAAACACTTTCAACCTGTGAGGAAACAATAAATAAATTAATAAATAAATAAATAAATAAAAGTTTTAGAAAAATAAGCGTTGCAATTCCCAAATGTATCCCACTACTAATTTGTTTAAATTATTTCTAGGGACGTAAAGAAATGCCTGTTGTAGAAGAAGAACTAAAGGAATTAAAAGAAGAAATGGCCGAATATCAAGAGGATGTTAAAGAACTCAATCAATTGAAAAAAGAAGCCAAAGGGTTACCAAGCATAGATAATATCAAAATTACAAAGGGAGCAAAGCATTTATTCATTCAAGTGAATCGGATAATAAGTAAACTAGACAATGTTGTATCTGATTTAAAAGAATCAGAAAAACAAATAAAAATAACAATGGATGGGAAGCTGGAAAATGAAAAATTGTCTAGTGCTGCAGAACTATTCAAAGTAGATGAACTTATTGCAGCCATCAAGAAAATACAAAGCGTACCTGATGAACATCGCTTAGCTCGTATTACTGAAATTTTGGGAAAAATAGATGAAGATCAAGATGGTGCTATCAAAATTAGTGATATACTCAAGGTATGCAATAACATTAACTTTTTCTAAACTTATAAATGTTTTTAAAACGTGCAAGAACTATCTAACTTCTTTTGAAGAGTACATTGAAAAATGACAATTCACGAAATTTTAGACTTCTAAGTGAATCCTATTGAGAGTCGAAAAATCATGTTTATCATTTAGAAATTTAATCCATAAGGGTATATGGTTAAATTATTTATATTCTTATTCTGGTAGGTTTCGCTTAACGTATCCTTCTTAATGTATAATAGATATTATATTTATGAGTTATTTCACTTCATGCTAGATATGCCATAAAAATGGTATTCAAAGGAAGCATCAACTATTATTGAATACATTGAAAAAAAAACTCTGAATATCTCAGTCTCCTTGGTCGATCCCTCATCGATCGACAGGGGCTCAAAGTTACATTTTTATTTTTAATAATTTCCTTCGATTAGATCAAAATTGAATCAAAAGACCAAAATACAACTTTGACTAAATTGTGGTCATCGACCAAATGAGAAAAAAACGATGTATTTCAAATTCCTATTTTTGTCGACCACCCTAATTTCCACTTTAAGAAACTCTTTCCACATTTGTCAAAACCTGGTCTATTTATCAAAACACGAAGAATCCAACAGTATAATTATTTATGTGGCTTCCGCTTCAAGTGTGAAATTTTTAACATTATCCGTATGGAATGGCTGCCGGAATCGAGTATTGATGAAGAGTGGGTAAACATACACAAATTTGTTAAAGTATTAAAGTGTTCAGTTCTCTTTCGATCTGAAAATAGACCTAAAAGATACCTTACACTGTGTAAAATATGCTCCGATAGGTCACATCTTCGCCCCGCCGCAGAAAGCATTTCAATGTTACATGTGTTTATTTTCGCAAGCACTGGCTATTCGCTCTCAACGTTTGGGCAGAGCTTAGAGTGGCGCTGCAGTCACCATTTACACGTAATCTTATGGAAAAACAGGACGTGTCCTGAAATAAATTCTTTTAATTATAGTGTTTACCTTATTCCTCTGTTGTGTATATTATTACGTTGCGTGCAATGAAATATTTTAATACAAACATATATTTCAAGCGAGAAGAAAATATAAATAAATAAATTATTTATATTTCAGGTAATAGAGTTGATTGGTAAAGAAGATATCAAATTAAGTGGTAAACAATTAGAAGAGTTGATGGAACTCATGGTAAAAGAAGAAATTTTGGAAGTTGAAGACCAAATACAAAAAACACTTGAAAAAGAAAAAAATGAGAACAAGGAAGATAATAATCCAGATGATATGCAAAATTTGTTCTTGTCTGATGATACGTCTTCATTGCGATCAAGTATTGAAAAAGACAACTTTGAAACTCAGCAGTTAAATCAAAGTCAAAAGTTGAAAAAAGATGTGGGTTCTAATTTACAACCATTGTCAAAAAATACAAAATAAGAAAATAGAAACAAATTAAAATATATATATCACATATATATTTTATATAAATGTCTGTTTGTGTGTATATTAACTTGATATAAAGTAAAAGACTTTGTTGTTAAGTATTTTCATATTTTAATGGGAAAATCATATTTTTATTAATTTCATTTTCTATTGCAAAGCAATCACATCACTTATAATTGATGAATTCTTACATTTATTAAAATAACAGATAATGTTTCATTATAAAACGTGATCTAACTGCTTTTTTAGTAAAACGAAAATTATTGTAAAAATAAAATATTTAATCATATTAAATTATTGTTATTGTTATTATTATCATTGCAAAAAACCGCTGCCAATGATTTGGCAAAGAGTTTCCTAAAAAAAATGTAATCTGTCCAATATTTTTGTTTTATTACTATTAATTTTGATTAGGCATTGTTCTATTGATACTTGATAAATTAAAAATAATACGTGCACCGACGATGTATAGGCACTTATACTACGCTCGTTTTTCACGGGCTTACCCCTCTTACCAAACGCCGATAAAGATGTCTCACATCATATATTTCTTGTATATCTTGCCCCTAGAGAGTAAAAAAAGTCTTAGAGCTCGTGTAATTAAGGCCTGAGATTCGCGTCTATCCTTTCTTAAACTAAAAAATTAATATAATGTGACCTCATCTAAACAACTTGTGATGTAGTCCAAAATTGCGATCGTTATTATGTTACGTCAACTTTCCGTGTTATGTGGGTAGGTTTTCGTGTACACATCCCGCATTCCTTATCTTTTACAGAACTAATACTCAAATGATGTCGCGGTAAGTTTCATTTGCATAAAAAATTATAACTCACTCATTAACTATAACCTATAGTTTAATAAAAAATAGTTTAATAAAAACTGCCACTTCATACGCGTATTTAAAAGGAGCAAATACCCTTTTAATTATCTAAATCAAAGAGTATCCACTAAATAAATACTGTAATAATTTGCATAAATTAATCACTTTTTGCAAATAACCTTCCTGTAGAAATCCTTCAGGTAAGCGCTCAATCGCTGTAGCTAATTCTTGATAAAAGCACGAAATTACTATGGGCAAACCTTGAGGAATACGCGAAATTGCGATGGGTAAACCTTGAAAAAAGCAGAAAGTTCCTAGAACGATCCGGCAAAAAAAAACGCAAAAAATGTAGAAAAATTTATTTTGGAAATCGGCTTGAAATGCTTGGATTTCCTGTTAGACCGGCAAATAGTGAGTGATAATAGGTGCTGATTTTTCCACTTATGCCCTTGAAAAATCTGAAAGATACATCGATAACCAGCTCAAAAAACGGAATATTTCGCTGTACTAGCGTGGCGATATATTTGAAAGTACATATCGATTTGTAACAAATTTTGGCTTTGTGTGCTGATTTTTAAACTTATGCCATTATGAAAAGATGATAGTTTGGCACTGATTGAGTCTTTATCTAGCTAGGCATAACAGCACCTAGTGTCGATTAATGTAGATCGGTATGGTCATAATGTAAGAAGAATCCACGATTGTGTGCTAATTTTTAAACGTATGCCAATGGAAGGGGAAAAATTTTGAATGGCATAAGTGCCACTAGTAGATATAAAAATCTAGACTCTACGAAAGTTGTACAATATTTCGGGTTAAACATTTTTCACATCTTTGGTAGATCAGCACCTATTTTGTGTCACTATCTGCCGGTCTATGTGGGAATTCTTCAGAAAAAGAGCAAAAGTACGTTAGTGATTCTAACAGATATGAGCGAAATTTCCGCAGATTTTCTGCAGGAATCCGTGAATGCTGGACTGGGACGTACGAATTTATCTCTGGCTGCAGTCGTCATGATTTTTGAAGGGGTTTAAATTTGATTCGCAACACAAATTCGTAATAGTGTACATTATTATTTCTGTAAGAATTCCTCCAGAATCATGCAGTCAAAATATATCTATCGAAAATTGCTCAGAATTACCCTCAGGATGTTCTGTAGGAATTTCTGCAGGATTTTTCCGCAAAAATATTTCGTTAGGGAATCACAGCGAGAATACTCAGATTTTCATCCGATTTTAAGACTGCGTCTTTTATTTCCTCTTTGATAACTGCGAAAAATGCAAAAATCTCGAATAAATTTTGACCACAGCTGCGGATATTAATAAATCGATGCCACTCATCGATTTTGCACGTTGTTCTTAAATCTTTTCTACAAACTTTTTACGTCTCAAATCATTGCAAGCTTTTTTTGGTTTTCCATAACTTTTTCTCAAAAATTAATTGTGCAATAGCAATGCCAGCATGATAACAACCATGTTCATATAACCAGTTCCATAAATTTGTACGTCTCTTTATGCGATGTGTTACATTAAATTTATCGTTTATCATTATATTATTTAGTTATAGTTGATAAAAGCAAAGATCTTAAAATTTAGAGAAATGTGAAGTAACAAAGTGACTTTCATACGATTTTCTTGAAATTTGGAGAGTAAGAAGTTTTAATCAACACAGAAATTTTCTCCAAATTGTAAAAAAATCGACCGTGTAGTTTATGAGAGAAATTTCGGGAAAAGTTGCACAAAAAGAAAACTTTTCATACGATTTTGTTATAAATGAAACTACAGGTACATTAGACCATAAGGAATGTTGGGACGAAGATTAGGAAAATCGATCGTGTCATTAATGAGTAATCAGCTTCGAAAGGGTTCGCGATTTACCGCTGCGCGCACACGGGCACGCTCAGACATATGCTTGTGTGGCACACGGATACGCAGAGCATGCTTGTGTGGAATAGTCATCTATGAAATTTTGAGACTGTACGTCGTACGCGCGCAATGTTACTCATGCACAGCATGTAATACAACTTTTGGCTCCGATTGTAGCCGATGTAATTAGAGACTAAACGATGCATGTCGCGCCACCATCGGTCAGTTGGTAAACCTTCCAGTCGACCGAAAATCCACTAATTAGCTCGCGAAAATGATGAAAAAAATTAATTGCAAATGTTTACAAGTGATACTTACATAACATTTCATTGAAAATCATAGTTTAAGTAATATCGAATATTTATAAAAAAATCTTTTTAAAAACTTCTTCCAATTTTAAATATCATATTATAAATAATCACGATGTCAGCCCGCGACTGGACGCACCGTGTCAACGGGATGAACCACGTGCAATCGTTCATACTATTTTTGCACGCATGAGTAAACGTAGAAAGGAAAAATGAGTGTCCTAAATTTAAAAATAACCAAGGTGAAAATATCACGCTAGATCTGACCTCAGATCTCATTCTAGATCTGATACTAGATCTGACTCTAGATCTAGAGTAAGATCTTGAGCAAGATCTTACCCTTGATAACCGACATCCGAACTAATGCCAGATCTAGAATGAGATCTGAGGTCAGATCTGGAGTGAGTTGAAAACCAAAACGCTAAAAATGAAAAAAAAAGCACAGCTCTATCCAAGTTTTGAACCTGAACCTTCAGGGTGTTAGTCCCGTAGGCTACCCGCACACCCAAAGATATCTTATACTATTGTAGGTTAAGATACACAACAAAAATAACTTACGGCTATTGAACAAGTGAATTTAGTGAAAAACAGTCATTTTAATAACAAAACTTCGACATACTTGTTATTTTAACTACATTCACTTGTTCAATAGCCGTAATTCATTTTTGTTTTGGATCTTAACCAACAACAGTGTAAGATATCTTTGGGTGTGCGGTTATATAGCCTACGGGATTTACACCCCGAAGGTTTAGGTTCAAAACTCGGATAGAGCTGTGCTTTTTTTTCATTTTTAGCATTTTGGTTTTCAACTCACTCTAGATCTGACCTCAGATCTCATTCTAGATCTGGCATTAGTTCGGATATCGATTATCAAGGGTAAGATCTTGCTCAAGATCTTACTCTAGATCTAGGGTCAGATCTGGCTATCAGTTCTAGAATGAGATCTTAGGTCATGCGTGATATTTTCACCTGGGAATTTTGTTAGATATTTTAGAAATATTGGGTGATTATAATAGGCCTTTTTAAAAGCAGAGTAAATTTTTTTGGCGGATTACATTGTTTATAGTATGGGTGTAAAAAAGCCGTACCGATCGAGAAAATGTAATCGTTTCACGTGTGACACAGACTTCAACATTTCCTATACTTTAGCATATAAGGCCAGCTCCGTTTGCCCTGCCATTCTCATCGCTGTGCAGATCATCGAACTACCTGAATAAAATTGCGCGAAAAAATTAAAATTCAATTGTATGAACAATAACTTGAAAAAAAAAAACAATCAAAATTTAGTGTGGAAATGAACCGAAAGTTTCACTTCTGGTGCTCAAATTATCAATAATTTTTTTTTTATTGTACTTAACAACTCACTCTGATAACACAAGATTTATTACAATCTTAAATTAGAATTAATAAGACAGCGCTCCTGGGTGTGCATCAAAAACATTTTTATTTTCAATTTCTAGCTATTAGCATACTTTTTATTGAATCAAATTAAAAATACCACAAATCGTAACATGAAAGTTTATATAGGTAATTAATTTTTTAAGATAGCTGATTATAGGGAATCTAATTGCGCTTTGTGATAAAGTCATGAGCTTTTACTTATATGCAAATTAGACAATTAATATAATATGGGTAATAAATCTTGATAATTGCATAAAAAATCCATTCATTGTATTAAACAAATTATTAAGATAGTGAAAATCAAATTCTTATGTGAAAGTTATCATAAGCACGTGGCTAACTTGATAATAATAATCATACATGATACATGTGTCATGTATACCAAAGTTTTGCGAAGTGTGTATGTGTATGAGTGTGTAGGATTATGAACATTCAAATACAATTACATGTTGTGTACCTTTGGTTTTTTCTAACTAAACATTGCTAAATTTATTTGTTGTTAACTAACGAATTTGAGGAAGAAGTTCATAGAATATTCTATTTAAAATAAAGACGATAATTTTATATCAAAGTGTAAATTCGAATTGTGAAGTTTAGGTTAATTGGTACAATTAATATGGTGAAAACGTTTTGAATCTTTACAATTCAGTTGAGAATATCTGTACTTTAGAAATATGAATAATGATAAGGTTTTATTTATTCTGAGCAATAATATGAAACAAAAGACTTTTTGAACCTTGCTTTAAGAGTTAAATTTGGTTTTCATATACTATGATTTATAAATTGTAACTCCAATACCATATTTCAAATTGCATACTTACAGATATAAAATCAACATTAATGCATGCATCTTTGAAGAAATGGAAATCTGAGTGAAATCATAAATTTGTGTGAGTTATTGTTTTTTCATTATATATTTCTATTAATTTAACGTAACTTTTTCTTGTTGTGTGAGTTCTTTTTATACTATTATAATTAAAAGTATCAGAAAGGTATGAAAAACATTTAATTGTTTTAATGAGAATTTTTGTTGTTCTTCCTTTAATTTTTTTTTTACCATTTGTGCATAGTAATAAACTAAATTAGAAGTAAATTTGATATCTTTTATGAAAATCATTGCCGAGATCCTATTTTCTTGTTCTGAATATTTTTTACACAATCAAAAATATTTATTTTTTCATTTGCATATCATTGTGTCCCATAAAAAGTAACATATTTCCATTTCAATTAACATACTGACATGTTACTCTTCGTAGGGATCAACAATTCATTCAAGTATATTTTAACAAGGTACTTGGTTGTATTAAAAAATGTTTTGTAAAACTTATTTTGTAATAAAGTAGCTCTTGAAAGTGATTATAACAGTTCTTCTTTTATGAAAATTTTTTTCTCATTATGTTTAAAATGAAAAAAATTTAATGACCATTTAGCAAATACTTTATAAAAATTTCTATTGAGTAAATCAATTGTAAATGTATAACATTTAGTTATAAATAAACAAGCAATAAATTTATTCAAAAAACTCTTTACATATTTTTTAAAATACTAAAATTATTTAAGTCATTTTTAAAAAATACCCACATAATTGGTTTAGATTAGTATAATTAAATTTAATAGATAAAGCTAAAATTTCTATTGAATTTTAATTTGAATTAAAATAGCTTAAGCACGTTAGCACTATAATTTTATGTATCAAATTACAATTTGGTGACACAAGTTCTGCATTCGTAACTCAGTTGATGCTGGTTCCAATTTTCTCTTGATGAGAGAAAAAATTATGATGCCCAGCTTGATTCTTCTTTCTACTAGTAGATTATTGACCTAAGAATCTAGACTTTGATAGACTTTCAAATTTAAAAGTTGACTAATTGAAAAATTCACTTAAAATCATTAATTATAAATGAAGACATTAAGGATGGAGTTGTTTCAGTGAATACTTATGATAAAAAAATTTGCTAAAAATAGCTCTTATATTCATCTGTGAGCTCTTTTGGAAATGTCTCAAACAAACTCATTTGAATTTATCGCAAATCAGTCTATAAATTCAATACTAAAGGTTTCTATTTTCACTTTTCGCTCAACTTTTATTGTGGTTAGGCATATTTTTCATTATTTTTTCATTTTCGAAGGAAAAAAAATTAAAATAAAATTTAAAACATATTAAGGCAAACGACTCTATTTTGGAATACTTTATTTGGGTGCATTAGGACTTTGTAGACGTATCGCATCTAAATTGAAATATTTTTTACTGTAGAGTATGGATGTGTGAATGTATGTAATTATAAAGAATGATTTTTCTCAAAAACGGAACGGTAAATTCTACTGAAATAAATTGCATGCTGTCAATTATGTTCAGGATGAAACCCGAAAAAGTTTTATCTCGATCTGTTTAACATTTCAACAGTATTTAAGATTTTTCATGTGTTTTTCTCGAAGTTTTTTTTTCCTGATTTTTTAAGGGATTAAGGGCTTATATACACCTTATTCAAAATTTTTTTTATTCAATTTTTGAATAGGATTTTTTCTCCCCTTTCCATTCCCTTATAAAAATTTCCTATACGATCTCGCGAAATTCCTACAGGAGTCCTATAGGATTCCAATAGGAATTTCGCGGGATCCTATTGGAAATTTTTATAAGGGTTGCATTTTTCGAAATTCCAAAATTTTGATTTTGCACTGAGATACAGCTGTTTCCGTGAGCCTTTTTCCTATACTTTATGTGTTAAATTTTTTCTTCTTTTGCGTTTTCTGGCGAGTAGGGTTTTTAGTCACCTGTCGTAATATTCAGAGGGTACCGATTGAGCTTTCTGCACCAGGGTCGCGTTCTCTTCTTCAGAACATGAATGGTTACAGCCACTACCACGGGTAAGACAATTGAGTTCATAGATCAATCTCAAAACGTACTTTTATGACTTAAATTTCGGCAAAAACGAAAAATGAAAAAAATGTGTGTTTAACTGTTCATGCATATAGGCGAGCGGCTTACCCTCGAAAAGTGCGTTATTTAGCGAGATACCCCTAACTCATTAGCGACCGTGCAAATGTGGTATCAAAATGTTTGGTACAACATTCTACATGAGAAATAATTAATATTTTTTCGATTCGAGTGGGGAAACATATAAATAAACAAGGTAAACAACGAAATTTTGAAAACTCAAAATTAATAAAATTTTGACTTCAACTCGCTATATCTCAGCTCGGTTTCAATATTTTGCCCTGAAATTTTTACTGAATATTCTACAAGTTATCTAGCAAAAAATGGCGTGATGCCGGTTTCTTAATATTAATTACAAACAAAATGGCGAATTTTTGAAAAAAAAACCAGCAAGTATCGAATTTTTTTTTCGAATTAAAAAGTTGTGTTATAAATTTTTGAATTTGGCATTTTAAACTATACCATATTAAAGACCAATACCCAAATAAGTTTTGTGAATTTTTTCAGATTTTTTAGAGCATCCAGTAAAAAGTTACAACAACATATATGCGACGCTTGAGCGCCCGCGCGGGGTCGCGACTCGATACGCCAGCGTAACAGTCCAGTTGCTGGCAGGGGTTTCGTCAAAATTTCCGACTTCACGGTATTTCTATAAGTTTCTAGGCGTATTTTGATGTGCTAATTCGATTTTTCGAGGTAGATTTTCTCTAATCAAGTGCGTTAAGAAGTTATAAACACTTTAATCGTTTAAATGGTCATATCATGTAAATTATTGAAGATAGATTAAAACAATTTGTTATAATTTCATTTGTCTTTGAAAAACAAAGAGATTGACGTATATTAATTGAAAATCCGTTCATTAGAAAAAAAGTTATGCAATAAATAATGCAAATTTTATAAAAATAAGTCCTTTTTTATCTTTCAACCTTTATAACTTGGCTCGTACCAGTCCGATTGAGCTCATCAACATTTTAAAAGTAATAACTTGAACAACGATGTATAGAATAGTTTTTATGGCAGAAAAATGTTTTGTAATGCGGTTTGTAGCCGTTTCAAAACGTTATTTCAGCCAAATTACATAGGTCAAAAGATAAAAAAGGACGTATTTCTATAAAATTTGTATTATTTATTGCATAACTTTTTTTCTAATGGACGGATTTTCAATTAATATACGTCAATCTCTTTGTTTTTCAAAGACAAATGAAATTATAACAAATTGTTTTAATCTATCTTCAATAATTTACATGATATGACCATTTAAACGGTTAAAGTGTTTATAACTTCTTAACGCACTTGATTAGAGAAAATCTACCTCGAAAAATCGAATTAGCACATCAAAATACGCCTAGAAACTTATAGAAATACCGTGAAGTCGGAAATTTTGACGAAACCCCTGCCAGCAACTGGACTGTTACGCTGGCGTATCGAGTCGCGACCCCGCGCGGGCGCTCAAGCGTCGCATATATGTAGTTGTAACTTTTTACTGGATGCTCTAAAAAATCTGAAAAAATTCACAAAACTTATTTGGATATTGGTCTTTAATATGGTATAGTTTAAAATGCCAAATTCAAAAATTTATAACACAACTTTTTAATTCGAAAAAAAAATTCGATACTTGCTGGTTTTTTTTTTCAAAAATTCGCCATTTTGTTTGTAATTAATATTAAGAAACCGGCATCACGCCATTTTTTGCTAGATAACTTGTAGAATATTCAGTAAAAATTTCAGGGCAAAATATTGAAACCGAGCTGAGATATAGCGAGTTGAAGTCAAAATTTTATTAATTTTGAGTTTTCAAAATTTCGTCATTTACCTCGTTTATTTATATGTTCCCCCACTCGAATCGAAATAGTTATTTATGTAACAAGTGCCCAAAAAGCGCTTTTGGGCACGAGTGTGCGGAAAAAGACACGAGTGTCGGCTATGCCGGCACGAGTGGGTGTTTTTTCCGCACACTGTGCGCAAAAAGCTGGGCACGTGTTGCATACAAAATTTTATGCAATAGTAGGCGAAAAATACGTTCATATAAATGAGGCGTTTTACCGCACACCCGTGTCCAAAATGAGGCATTTTACCGCACACCAGTGTCGAAATGAGGCATTTTACCGCACACAAGTGTCCAAAAACGCTTTTTGCGCACTAAAAAATGTGCGAAAAAAGACATTTTTCGTCGTACTATTGCATAAAAATATTAATTACTTCTCATGTAGAATTACAATGATATACAAGCGAATTTCTTTTACTATGTTCGCTGTTTTCTGTTCCCGAGCTGTTTTAATCGCGGCCGCGAAGTTTTCAGCGTTGTGCGGCTCGCTACAATCAAAACTCGCTCATAATTCGACGGAAAAAATAGATAAAGATATGCTTTCGATAGGAAACTTCCCCAGCTTTAAGATGGTAGTATCAGATTTTCTAAAATATTCAATTTGCATAAGAAAAAATCACAAATAAACCATAAAAAGCATATTTTTCGTACTGATTTTTTCGAGATATTTAGCTCGGCATGTTTGACGTTGATTTTCTCGGTGAATATGCAATGTATCGAAAAATCTGATATCACCCTCGGAAAGCTGAGAAAATTTCCTATCGAGTGGAGTCGTCAGTCACTTTTTTAAAATGAGTTTTGATACTTTTTCAGCCACTTAGAAATTGAGTGAATTGTCGTATTTACGCGAAAACATGACTTTTCGGGCCCTAAAACACAAAAGTAGCCAGAAAAAAATTACCTATCTTTAAATGTCATGTTCAAGCATTTTATTTGCTTCCTAGGACCTGCAAGAACAATACCTAATGTTCATAGCATGCGTTCAACGAAAAAAAATTGTTCCGTTTTCAGCCAAAAAATTCGAAACTAAATTCCGGAATTGCTCATATAAGCCCTTAAGGGTGGTTCTAACATTTTCGAGCAATGAGTTCGAAAGATGAGCAGAACAATTTTAATTTAAGATCAAAAGC